TCCCATACAGCAGACCTATAAAGTGCTGCTGGCGCGTCTTCCAACTCCTGTTCTTTCCAACTCGCCAGTCCGACACAATTCTGCACAACTGATTTTTTTCCCTGCTACACCCGGCTAAGCTGCTTCGCTTCTTCTTCTTCTTGTTTACTACTGGTGGTTGGCTTTGGTCGCAGTACCGCCACCTTCTGCTCGGGAGTGTAAACGCTTCGCCTATGAGAAAAAGGAGCAGCGCATGAACCGAACGAAACACACACGAATCGAACCGAGACAGTCGAACCGAACGGTTCTGACGGTTTTCATAAATCGTCCCATCCCTAATATATATACACTATACTTAGAGCAACCTTTTAGTTGAAAATCACACCTAAAGAGTTCCCATGCCTTTCCAGGGTTAAGTGTTGAAACCCTTTTCCACATTTCTGTTGCATTTCCTGCTTTGCGTCTTGCAAAATGGATGCCATTAGGCTTAAAATTACCTGTTATACTCAATTCAATAAAACATCTTCTCCTCAGGTTTTCTTCACCCCAGTCCAGTCCAGTGCGGAGAAACCTTTACTCCCTGACACTAGCACAGCCAACAACACAGACTACGAAACGGCAGTTTCCCTTTCCGAGCCAGAGACGGCCGTACCCTGTCCACCTCTGCGGGAACAATCGCTGGAAGAGTGGAAGGAGAGGGAAGAGGAAAGACAGGAGGCGATAAAAGAAGAATCAGCTGAAGAGAGGAAGGACGTGGCAGTGGAGAGGAATGCAGGGTACCACACTGAGACCACAAGTGAGAGCGAGGTGTGTGGGGCGCGCAGCGAGGGCTGCCACTCAAACCCTGAGAAAACACATCGGAGGGCGAGACACACGCGCTCTCTTCAAGAAAAAGGAAGCTTCTGCGGCTGCCACGAACCCAGGTCCTCTCATTTGAGGAAACCACACGCAGGTATAAAACCCAAACCAACAGGCGGAATCGCAGGTTTACATGCAGAGTCACTGCCAGAGAGTAACACTGCATGAATAATCACTTGGCACAGAAAAGAGACACAAACAGGCTTCATGTCTGGAAATCCAGTCTAGTGAATCTCAACCAGTTCTGGCATTCTTTTGTGATGAGTGCTATTGAATCGTTTCCGGGCAACTGCAGATCTTTGTCTGAAGGATAACATTTATTAGGTTAGTTGAGGTGAAGCAGTGACTAAAGACGGCATCTGTAGTGTTGAACAAACTAAGACATTGAGATTCAGTTACTGATTAAAGAATATTTTATTACTGGCACATGGAGAGCCACTTTCTTCAGCTTCTAAATGATTTCATATTTGACATTTTTAATAACATCCTGTAGTCTGTTGTGGATAAAAAAAAAAGTCAAAAAAATACACTTTTATGATCTGCAGCAAGTTCAGACAATGTAATTCTTTTTTTTTTGTAATTCAAGTTTTTGTTGAATTTTTCAATTTTTAAAACATGAACAAAACAAAAAACATTACGATAAAAAAAAACAAAGAATAAAACAGTGAGGTTTAGTGCAAATCTTCGTTTGCTGCCTTAAAGTTCAAATCAATTTGTAGACATATAGGTGCAAAAAACTGTCCCATTGTTGCATGGCAGCTTCATTATTAGAATGTATTCTTCCCAACATTTTTTTTACAAGCAACATTTTCAGTCATTTTCTCGGTCCACATTTTAATTGTTGGGGTATGGGGGTCCTTCCATAACTTTAAAATAAGTCGGGCACATGTGACCAGTGTAGTGCTCAACACTCTAAAAGCATGCCTGTTCAACAGTGGTACCTCACTTTTATCTCCAAGTAAACACAGTCTGGGTGATTTTGGCAAACAACAAGCTAACCAACCCTGCATATAGCACAATACTCCATTCCATAATGGAGATGACAATGTAATTCTTTAAAGCTAGTCCTCATGTCAGATTCTGATCAGAGCATTTTAAAACCAATTTTTAAAATACTATTTTATCTTAATTACTGCTCTGAGTAGGTTTTTCTTGCAGTAAAATTTTTTTATGGAAATATCAGGTCATGGAAATGCTTTGTGTTTACTGTGCAGCAGTACAAATTTTAGAAAATCTAAATGCTGATGCATGCCTAATTTCAAACAGAAACAAACAGTTTGGTTTATAATATTTATTTGTATATATTATCAGGGTCTCTGATGGAGTATTTCAGTGTAGCGAGCCACTACGATCAATATGCTGAAATTAAGCCTCCACGCTCATAAATAAATCCTGGTGAGACCCCTGATTGTATGTTTGATAAATAACTCTGAATTTTATTTTGAAGTTTATGAATATTTTCCCTCCTAACTATATTAAATTGCAATCATAATTTTGCAATGTAAAAACATCAAATTTTGACCTCTGCGTTAGCACAGTAGATGGTGTTCTGCATTACAAACAACCTGCCGTTATCCACCTTTGGATCCCTAAACTGCAGAGATTTGTTATATTGATTCATTATTGCAGGCCATGTCTTCTCATTCCCTCAGGTGCTGTAAATGTTTATGGCTGTAAGAGCCTGGAATGTGGAAAAATGTTTAGATCTTTCTGCTATGTATCCTCTTTCTATTTTATCGAGTGAGTTTTCAACAACAGAGTTGTTAATAAAAGAGCCATTCATCCCATTCAGGGAAAGCTTTGTGTGTGGGTGAGTGGGGTGAGAAATGGCAGGAAGAAATGGCTGGCATGAGGTCCTGTTTTTAATAACCTGTTGCTCTGTAAAATGGTGCGGTATCACTTCTCGCTTTCACTTCACATTTTCTGTAAATCACAGTAGAGCAGTTATAGCTATCTTCCTATTGTTTTTTTTTCTTTTCAGAGGAATATTTCCCCTGAAATCTTGCATTCATTTAGTGGTTTTATTATTACAAAACAATCTAGGTGTGGGAAATCTGAAGAATTAGATTATTGTAAAACAATAAACACAGTGAGCAAAAAACCAATATAGCTGCAGGGCTTCCTGCTTCATGAAGGAATGATTTAACTTTGTTTAAAAAGCTGAATAAGTAAAAGTGGCTTTATTATTTGGTTTTATGAAAGAAGCCTAATTCTCTGGGTTTGTCTGCATTAGAAATTAATAAAAGGAATATTGCGTCTTTGCTAATTTCTGAAACTCTTTCTGTTTTCTTTTTTTTTTCTCCTCTCTGTAGCTTCTGTGTGCAGCAGTGCCAGCCCTTACCACGAGGTGATGCGGATGGAGAGGCGACTGCGCTCCTCATCTGAGGGGGCTGGTGGGCCTCGTGTCCATGGAAACTACAGAGATGCCCAAGGCATGGAGGGAAATGGTCTGCTCAAACACAGAAACAACTCCTCATCATCTAAACTTGGAAGCCTGGTAAGCCTGGAGCTGTTTGTCTCTATTTAGGCTGTGCAATAAATACAAACACTATCAGTATTTTCCTGCATTTGAACGTTAGGCCAGGCTCGGCCATCAACATATGATAATGTTTCTGTTCTTTTTTTAATGTAAACACCAAGGAAAAAAAAAAAAAGCTTTGGGAGCTCCATACAGCCTGCTGGTGGGCTCTAAATAATAGATATGTATATGTTTTTGCTGGCTTTATGTATCAGACTTTAATGCCAAATATGGTTATATGTGTAGTTAAAATGAAATGTGCATTTTTTTTTGTGGCGTAAATACTCATGATTGTAAACGTACTCCAAAATGAGGACTTTGAAGTCTATTCAGCCACTTTGCTTCTCTTCGATTTACCTTTTAAGGTCTTGTGTCCCAATCAATAGGCAACCGGACACTTTAAAGATAATGAGGACTATTATGGATCCAAAGCGCCTTACAGCAAAATACGACTCTAAGAAAATACATATAGATTGTTTTTAATCCTTTGCAAACAGTTTTCAGTTGTTTACATCTGGTGTTGAAGTACATCTCTTACTGTCGTGATCCAGTGGAACCTCTTACAGTTCTAAAGATACAGCTCTTTTTTTTAGACTTTGCTGCGCACACAAGGGCTATGTGGAAGATGGCTTGCACGTGACGTCGTGTTGAAATGCTTAGAGTTTGATTGTTTGTGCATTTCATGGCACAACATGTACACTTTGATCAGCAAGTGTCAGTCTTGTTTTTGCTTTAAAACCTCAGATTTAATCTTCCTATCTGATACATCAATATCAATAATTCCATCACTGTGAGGGTGAGGGTAAAGTATGCATCTTTTTTTATCACAATGATAATAATTATCATGGTTTATTAGTTTTTATGTATTTAATCACATTGTTTAAAATGCTCTAGATTATAAAACAATATGTGTAAAAAACACTTTCCTCATAGTGAAACAGGGCAGCAATTAATGTAAACTTGAGGCTTTCAGCAGAAAATTGACCTGAATAGGGATGGAACAGTTTATGAAAACCGTCCGAACCGTTCGGTTCGACTGTCTCGGTACGGTTCGCGTGTGTTTCGTTCGGTTCATGCGCTGCTCCTTTTTCTCATAGGGGAAGCGATTACACTCCATAGCAGAAGGTGGCGGTACTGCGACCAAAGCCAACCGCCAGTAGTAAACAAGAAGAAGAAGAAGCGAAGCAGCGTAGCCGGGTGTAGCAGAAAAAAATCAGTTGTTATGGAGAATTGTGTGGGTATGGCGAGTGGGAAAGAACAGGAGTTGGAAGATGCGCCAGCGGCGGAAAGAAAGTTGTGGATAAAAGTGCAACAGTGTGCAAGCATTGTGCAACACGTGTTGTTTATGCTAACAGCAACACGACCAACATGTCTTTCAGTTTTAACCTGACCATACTAGACATAATAGTTTTTCCTAACAATCAACATATACCGAACCGAACCGAAAACCGTGACCACGAAACCATGAACCGAACCGAACCTTTCCACCCCTAGACCTGAAATATGAAATCAGTGTTTCAGTGGAATTATTCACATACAGTTTTTGAATGATCTAATCAAAGCCCAAACCTGTGGCAAGACTTCCAAATGAATATCCATAGATGCTCTCCATCCATTACAGGATCTGACTGGCTTTGAGCTATTCTATTTAAAACAACGGGCAGACATTACATTCTCATTCCACATGTAATATGGGAAAGTTTTAACTCAAGCCACTGAATACCAATGGATCTCACACTTCAGGTTAGTATTTCTTTCCCACTTAAGTTTTAAAAGGTATGACTATTGTTGGTTGATAAAATGAAATAAAATATATATTCAAGTTTGTGGTTGTGATGCAAGAAATAAGCAAAAAAGAAGTTAAAGATGTTCGTAGTTGATTAAAGGCAGAAAACCTTGGAAACATGTCATTGAAAGATGTAGTGTTGACAAGACTGAAAAATTTATATAGAAATAAATGATTTCAGTCTAAAAAATGTTTATGTGAATCAGTTTTTTTTTTTTTTTTTACCTTATCTCAATGTCTTAGTTGCACTACGACCTGTTTGGTCTACCATCTAGGAAACGTACTTCTGAAAATGTTAGATGTTAGATCTGAATTCCACCCTCGATTTGGTCACGAAACATAACTAAGGTCATCACTTTTTTTTTGCCTTGTACCCTCTAAGATTCTAACAGAGGTAAAGAAAGAGGCTCTGTACACAAATGCCATGTAGATAGGGGAATTATGCAGAAAACCCATCGGTATTTAATCTTTAAACACTTAGTTTGCGGCCTCCGCTCAAACAGCATCTGCTTTTATTCACAAAGTAAAGGATTTTTTGAAGGATTTTTTTCCCACAACACAATGAGCTGCATGTCTAAAGAGTTTAGAATGAGTGGGTGCAATTCTGCTAGGATAGTCTGGTATAATGCTCTTTCTATTACACTTGCTGATTTGAGTCAGTGCTTGTAGCCCTGACCATGAAGATATATATAAAAAAAACATTCCTCGAATCTAGACTTAATTTAGCTTCTGTTTCTGCATCACATACAAAAACCCAAACATATAAAAACATGGAGAAAGAACAGTTGACATTCAAGCCAAATCCATCAATATGAATCATTTATAAACAGTAAACTTCAGTATTGCAAATATATGGAAATGATCAGTTACAAATGTGGGAAGTAAAGTAGGCATTTCCTGAATGAATCCTTTTTACGGAAACTTTGGAAGTTTTAATTAAGTGTGAATGTGTGACGTACTTCGAAAAACTTCCTCAGTCATCTAACAGGTTTTAGTCTGGTGTTTACTTTGTCTGCCTGCACACATTGCAGCAGTCTTTGTTTGGGCATAATTTAGCAACATTCATTTTTGTTTTTGCCAGGAGGATATAACTGTCACGGGGTTGGTTTTTCCCACAAGGAAGCTCCATAGGAGGCAAAGTCGTTTAAATCAATCCTATTTATTCTACTGGAGACTAAAAGCTTCTTCTGGGAGATTACACATAGTATGGATGTACTCTGCACATTACTGTTTATATTACAGGCTGCTACTGCTGCCTCTCCACTTCCACTTTGTTAAATGTTGTATAATCTCTTTCTTGCCTCCTCTCTTCCTATGAAGTGCCCTTCTGGGGCTTGAGTAATGGAGGAAACATTGGATCTCAGCAGTGTATATTAAACTATATCCTATCTCCTCTTGCTTCGTAAAATTTTATTGGTCAGTTTTATGCACTTGTAGCTAATGAAAAACTCAGAATTTAGACACCTTTGTCTTCACCTTGTCTGTGTTCTTTCTAATATGTTCAATAATGGTATGCAAGCAATAACATGTTATCAATAAATACAAAGCCCTCTTGGCACCTTTGGTTAAGATGTAAACAACCTCTTTTAATGCAGTAGAAGATCTCACCCTGATACACTGATGAAAGTGCAAGCTTTCCGGGTTTTTTATTTTTATTTCATTTTTGTGCTATCTCTTAAGGTTTTCATATACCGTTCTCACACCCAGACCACATTAAATGAATGCATTTTTTCACAGCACAGCGAGAGGTGATGCAGAACTCCTCCGTCTACATCTTAGTTTTGCAGTTTAAATATAAAATATATTATAAATGAATTGTATATATTATATATAAAATCCAAAGTGATGCCACCTCCTTTACATGCTTTACTGCAGCCGTGCTGCAGAGCATCTCTCTCCTGCCATAAAAGAAAAAAGAACAAAAAAACAAATTTAATCTAAGATGATCTAAAGCAGCACTAAGTAACATTTTTAACCTTGATATATCCTTTTCTAAGATTAGATGAGCTTTATTGATCTCACAGCGGAGAAATTCACTTCCCCATGACGCTAATCTAAGTGTTTATAAGACGATTAATTGGTCTGTCATCTCGCCTGACTAGCTGTGGTCGGCTAACCACATTGCACGTTTCTGTGCCACCGACCCAGGTGGCAGACTCTCTGCTCTCATCTCCTGGTAAGACAAACAACTCCATGCACAGGCATTGGCATCAATTGCCACACACCCTCACTGCGCTACCAACTACAGAGGAGTTTTTATTTTTATTTTGGAAGTTTATGATTTGATGGAGTCAGCAGTAAAACTGAGAAAACAGAGAAACTGAGAATCGGATTGGCACTGGGGTAGCTGAAGAGTGAATTTGGATGAGGCGTTAGCTCCATAACGAATACCCTGATGCAAAACTGATACAGACCTGTTAATGTACTTCCAAGTACTCTATCTTTTAAGTTCTGTTCTCATAATTCTACTACTTTATTCGCATAATATTACAACCTGTCAAAACAAAATTTCCTTTTGTATGGCCCTATTACTCCATCATAGCATTGGCTTATGTCTACCAAATAGAAAACACTTGACTTGAGAGGAAGACTTTCACTTGTATAAAAGTAACAACTTCCAGCAAAAAGAGGAAGTTGTACAGTAAATGACATTAGATAATGTACACTAATACCCACCTCTTCAGACATTTTATTGTGATATACTAGACAGTGAACGCTCTGTAGGTGTGAGGTGCGAGGCTCGCGGCAGGCTGATTATGACAGTCATATTATAAAAAAGGTCCTTTAGGGGAGCACCACTCTGAAAATGATCTGGGGCTGCTTATTTCAATATCATCCAAACATAACTAAAATAAATATACACAGCAGTGTTTTTAAGAAGGAATGTTCCAAACCAATAGGGGTCTTATTTTAAAAGCAAATGCCCCATTAATTGGTGACAAAAACATTCAATAATTGATCATTAGAATAATTGTCAGCTAGTTTATTTACCAAATAACCTTAGCCTGAATATAGACTCTAAAATGTGGCTTTTGGTGAAATACCAAACCACTACGATCCTTAGTAAGCAAAAAAAATAATAATTCTGAAAATATTGTGCAGTTAAAATGTGTTGGGAATAGCAAAGCAGAGCGTCTTCACTGCAAAATAAACATTTGTTGAGCCGGTTCCAGCACAAATCTGCATAGATTTA